CACCTATCCTCGTTTCAGGTGTGCTGAGTTTACGTTGATTGAGCAGAAATATGTTTGAAATTAGAAATATATTAGAACATCTGCTTTAGAACCAGAACTCTCAGTTTTTTAATAGAGTCTCGTACTCTTTGAGCGTGACAGTATTGATGGTGTTTGTGTGTTTTTAGGAGCACGGGCACTGCGCAGATTTCCATCCTAGCGGTTCGGTTGTTGCCATTGGTACTCACTCAGGGAAGTAAGTGATCTCTGTCATCTCTAGTCAAGTTGACATGAATAACTAACACTTTTAAATAACACATTTAACATAAAAATGGTTTGACGGCTGTAGTGCAGACATCGTTTTGTTTGCGTCTCAGGTGGTATGCTCTGGACGCAGAGACGCGAGACCTGGTGGCCATTCACACAGACGGCAATGAGCAGCTGTCATTAATGCGCTACTCTCTCGGTGAGTAGGAGTGTTGTTTGTTTACACACTCTGTTTTTTTTTCTCTTGCATTTCTGTGTTGAGCAGACAGCCAAATGTCTCTCTGTCTCTCCTCAAGATGGCACGCTGCTGGCAGTGGGATCACATGATAACTTCATTTACCTCTACACGGTGTCGGATAAGGGACGCAAGTACAGCAGATATGGGAAATGCACTGTGAGTATCTAACATTCACGTAACTCTTTGTGTTCTAGCATTAAAAAAAGAAAAGAAAATCATGAAATATATATATTTTTGTGTAGACTGTTATAAATATAACAATATAAAGATTACATTTTCAAAGGTTAGAAGAATTTGCAACATGCATTTTAAATGTATTTGTCATCAAGCCATAAATAATGAATTGAGATTTATTTTGCAATTCATATAATTGTTTTATGGCTGTATTATTGTCTATTTTCACTGTTCCCTTTTCTGCTGGATTCGAGGGGTCAGGGCAGAGTGGAGAATAAAACTTTACAGTGCGTGACCGTTTGCCCATGTCTGACCTGGGTCTCGTTTCGCTCGACTGTACTCCATCAACACACTCTGAATCACACTACTGTTCTTTTGATTCTTCACGTTTTCTTGCATTTTTTTGTATTTTTCTGTGCAGCTTTTCAGCAGTTGAGAAGTTTAATGTCATTAACATCTGTGCTCGATCACAGTAATAATAGTCATTCTCTGAAACGGGTGCCTTACAGAGTACATTTCTATGTATTCATGCTCTGACCATAAAAAAAATAAATAAAGTTCTGTCATGTACTAATATGTTGCTTTGAACCAGAATTCATGGACACAAATGAATTATCCAGTTTAATGATTTATATATATAAAAATATAATGTGATTGAAATATCGTGAATGGAAAAATCAATGCAATTTGTCATGACAAAATGTTGAATTTTGAATAGAACTATGACTGGCTATACAGACATATAAAAAAACACCAGTTTGAAAAGTTCAGGAATGTTTAAATGTTTTTTTAAAGAAGTCTCTATCACATCATCATCATCATCATCACATAATGCTTTAATGAAATACATCTATAATTAATCTAGAATGAATACATTTTATCTTAAAAACACTTAAAAAAAAAAAAAAACAACAGATTTCTGTATTTAGTGCTCTTCATTAAACATGGACACAAATGGTTCTCCTTTTATAGAATAACCCAATTATGATATTACTGATGGAAGCGAAATCATTTTCACATGGTCAGTTTTTTTCAGTGCGTGTGATAGTCTGTCCTTTGATGACACGTCATAAAGAGAGTGAAGGAACACCGGTTTTGAAATGGCTGAAGATGTCAGTGTGATTTCAGCAGACAGAATGAAAGCATGCCTCTCTTTCAGCACTCTTGACTGCCTGACGCGTCTGAGCTTCCAGAGGGAATTCAGACATTGTGGGAGCGCTGGCCTGTGGTTTTATTGATGCTGGCAGACGAATCGCTCATGTGTCTGTCAGCGTAGCTGAACCATGTTACTCACAGACAGATGAGAGCAGATGAACACTTACAGTGGCCTCAAAAC